CCCCAAAACCCCAAAACCCCAAAACCCCAAAACCCCAAAACCCCTTGTTCTAATAATAATATTGAAAAATTATAGCTGTCTGACTTGCTCGAGATAAATCTTTCGTTTCAGCTTCAAGAAGTTATCAGAGCCCTGATACAGTCACTTTATGTTGAACTTCTTTGCAAACTCGTACTGACTGTCGGCCTTAGTTCCATCGTCGTTTGACTGGAGAGCCATGCTTCTGTATAGCTTCTTGTTCTTTCTCTTTTTGTTCTCAAGTTCTGATCTAGGGGAGAAATATTTACTGTCTAGTTGTTTGATCATAGATTTGATATTATCGGTCCTTTCAGCACTTCTTTCAAGCATGTCAGGATTCTTAATGTCTAAGCCTGAGTTAAGGATCGGTAAGAGGTTAGACACATTGCTTCAGTCCAACGTTCTTTCTCTCCTGTCGTACCTTTGGGCGTTACCTTTGATGAATGGTAAAGAATGCTGCCCAGTAGAATACAGGCTTTCCACAGTTGTCTTTTCCATGATATCTTTTCATTTCGCTATGTCAAGGCTCCTTAAATTTACACGCTTTTTAGGTGACATATGGTTTTGGCTGAAATGGTCATCTAAAACACTATTTTCAAGAGAGAAACTCTCAGTGTGGTTTTGTCTCTGAAATCTTGGGTTTCTTCCGATACTTTCGATTATCTCCTTGCCGTGATTCTTCATTGATTTAGCAAAATCGATGAAGTAAGGATTCCGATCAGACATGTAGCTTAAGTCAGGAGATAGCGACTTCTTCTTCCTTCTTGGTTTAGCTTCTTGACCTTGCTTGGCTTGCATAGCTTTGGCAATTAAGACATCATAGGCTGTCATTTGTTTGGACAGACCAAAACGGTTTCGAATGAATTCATCCAAGAGTCCTATCTCGAAGTCTGAAATGCGAGGCTTGAGTTTATCCTTGCCTATTTGCTTCATACTAAGTTGCTTTCTATTTCTCTCTGAAGGGATCGAAAATTTCCTTTTTGAACTGAACAGCATTCTTGACAAGCCCATGTTTGAAAGACCTTTTTATCATCGGGATTTTAATCTGCTTTTTCTCTTTAAATCTCTTTTTGGGGATGTCACGAAGGAAGACTGGGGAAGCCTCTACACGTTTAGGGCTGTTCAATTTCTTTATCTTGATGATACTCCGGTTGAACTTTCTGGATATCGGCTCGGAACTAGTCTCGCTCTGCTCTTCCATTATTTGGCTCCTGGCCACATCTTGGCACAGATTTATGGTAGGATTCGCTATGTTTTTGGAATCGATGAAAGTTTGACTATTGCTCTTCTCAAGTATTGGGAAGGAAATAGTCTCTGAACTGGGGAAAATACCATAATCTCATACATTCTTCCCTCTTTTGTGAACCTTATTTGGGAGACACCTTTCGCTGTTTATCCTTGAGAGTAAGGACAGGTTTATTTGAATGAGGATCGATACCCTTGATGAACATCTTCCTCATTTTGTTCACTATTTTATTCTCTTTGATCAATTGAGGATCTCTATTGATTTAGATTTTTGAATATGAATTCAGGGAATGGTAAAAATTGTCTAAATATCACTTCTGCACATTATTAGAAATTATATGATATCTTGGCAACTCTTAGTATATGACAAATTTTAACAGTTTGCGGCAAAATCACTCATTTTGAATGGAGAATTGCTAAACATGAAAGAGAGACTATAGGTGTAAAATCCTAGCCTAACTTATTTAGAAACCGAGTATGAAATATTGTCACATATCTTGAGTGTTATATACCTTTTACCGTTTGAAGTGAGAGCCTTCATTTTATTTTAATAATTTCGTTCCAATTGCAACTTAATTTAACGGGGTTTTGGGGTTTTGGGGTTTTGGGGTTTTGGGGTTTTGGGG